CTCCTCTTACGCTTGTTCCATTCTTGTCTTCCCACGCCTCCACTTTGTTCTGCCTTTTCAAGCGGCCCCCCTTCCCCTCATCGAAATACAGGAAGGAATTTCATTAAATAAAATAAAATTACGGCTCTCCTGTTCACTGCTTTACTTGGATCTGGTACGTTCAATACTAGATCACCCACCCACTTGTCTTATGCCATTGGATTGTGCCTGCTTCTGTCCAGAGCACACTTCACATGTGTCGCCACGCACTACTGGCCATCCAATCTGGTCATTCTTCGGGACCAGTCACACACGTTGCAATCCCCATCCTGTGGTGCTCATAGTTCCAACGCTTCTTTGGCTTATTATTCTGTCTTATTGATTAAAGTCATCATTACTCTTGTATTCTGTTGTTACCGTTTTTTATTTATCCTGGTGTTATAGCTTAGCTGCTTCTTTACTTACACTGATGGTTGAGCCTCATTGACAGTTTCCATCCCCGTTTTCTGCCTTTGTGCTCCGGCGCCTGGAATCCCGTGACTTCCCATCGTCCTCCTTGCACTCTCTCAAGCCTCTCAACCGCTGCTATTTCGGGACCGGTGTAATCGGCATCTAAGTTATCCAGCCTTGTCGGTATGTACAAATCCTTTGCGCTATTTTTATTCCTTCAGTACCGATTTTGTTCCGTGTCTTCATTACTTGCAGCTCTTGCGTCGAATGTCTCCGACAACTCTGTTCTGTGTGGTCGTTGCTTCTCAAATGCCCGTGTCGCAGATTCAAAAGCGCGACTCAACCACAACCCCCGACGCGTCTATAGCCCCCCACCTTGCCCTTTCTGTGATGGCTTTTGTCTAGTTGCCTCATCTGTTGCATCATTGATTTCCGTGTTGATTTCGTCGCGAGTCCGACAGTTGCTTTTTAATAATGACCAAGCCTGTTCTGTGCGTGTGTCACATTCACTGACGATCATCGCCTTGCAGATGGGTTGGTAAGACCACACGACATGAATGCCTGGCTAGCCGACGCCTCGAACCTCCAGAGCCATGACAATGGCGCCTTTAATCAAACAACAATAGATCCATCTACAGCATTTCTCCATGCATCGCCCACGCCGCCAGACCCCAATCAGTTCCAGCGCATGTTCAATGGAGTACCGCGAAATGCTTCCCCCGGATTCCACAATCCTAACCAGGTGATTCCGTCCAAGAGATCGCGACCAGAGGATGGTCTCTCAATGTCACCCAGGCAAGCGCCTGGCGGGCTTTCTGTATCGCGATCTCAGACGCCTCATCAAGTACCTTACCCTGGTTACCAGGGGCCTGCGAACGGCGCCCAGCAATTCCCTTCCCATGCCGCGCCGTACCAACATTTCCAGCAAGGGACTCCGACCAATGTCACTCAGTCCCCCATCATGCAAGACTTTGACCAGCACGGTGTGCAGCGACTCGGAACTGCCTCTCCTAGCCCATTCTCGCCAGCAGGCCCCCACGTCGGGCCTCATATGTCCCCGTCGCAGTCTGATCATCCAAGTAGAGTCAACACACCGCAAAACAATTCGTTTATTCCAGGTCAACCTTTCCCTCAAGGGATGGGCCCGCAATTTGCACCCGCTCCTACGATGACTTCTGCTGCCGTGCAAGCTCCCATGCAAGCGAACTTTAACAGTATGCCGCAATATCAGCAAGCGATGGCCGCTCAACAGCAGCGACTGCACGCATTGCAGATGCAGAGCCAAGGTCGTCCTATGAATATGAATCCTGCGATGGCAGGACGCCCCGTGGCGGCGGGAATGAACGCGATGGCAAATCCTCAGCAAATGGCGGCCATCAGGCAAATGCAGCAAAGTATGGCGAAACCACCCAATCCTGAGGGCTTTATGAGGTCGTTGCAGAAATTTATGATGTCGCGCAATCTGCCTTTGGATCCGAATCCCATAGTCTGTGGTCGCCCTATCAACCTGGTCCAGCTCTATGCGACGGTCATGAAGCTGGGTGGGTCAAAGAAGGTAAGCGCTGCAAACATGTGGCCTGTAATAGCCCAACAGCTTCAGTTCCCTCCGATGCAATTTCCTATGGCTGTACAGGAGATTCGGGAGCACTATCAAAGGAACCTCGCTGCGTACGAACAGGCTTTCCTCAGCACGCAACAGAAGCAGTTTGCCGATCAAATGCAGCAAAACTCACTGCCGCGACAGCCAAGCGATCCTTCGGCTGTCCAGTTTCAGTCGCCAACAGTCAAACAGGGCCAAGGGTTCGAAGTACCTCAACCAGTTGGTGCCTCTCCTGGTAGCATGTCCGTAGCAAACAATGCGCAGCAAAACATTCCAAATGGCTTCGCGACCCCGACCCAAGTCAAAGCGTCGAACAAGCAACAACAGCATCGACTAAGTGTATCCCGCCAGTCTCAGCCTCCAGCAACCCCGCAGGATTCTACAGGCCAGTTACCAAACCAATCCCCTGCTCAGTCAACAAAACCTCTTGGTGGAACACCGGGAAAGTCAGCGAAGTCATTCGAGCAAACCTCTGATCAACCATTGAAACATCCGATACAAGATCCTTTCAAACCAATGGTTTTGCCGGAGAGCAACTTACACGGTCCGATAGCTTTGGATGAAATGTACCAGCTTGGGGAAGAAATTACCAGGTTGAAACCAAACGTGCCTTCCTTTGCCGAGCTTGGTGTCATTGACATTCACGCGCTCACAATGAGCATCAAGTCTGGTATTCATGCGGAGATGCGCCTGGCGCTGGATACTCTTGTATCCCTCTCTTGTGAACCAGCCGTCCAAATCTCGCTCGATAATTGTGAAGATCTGATCGATAGTTTGATCGAATGTGCAGAGGACCAAGCTGATTTCCTTGCTGAACACGCCGTGGAGGTTTCGGATGTGATGTTACTGCCCTCGTACGAGGAGGTTACTCGTGGATGTCAGACGGAATGGACTTCTCTTGCCGACGTCCCTGAGTTTGGAAGCCTTGAATATGAGCTCGATCGCGCTGTTGACAGACTCATCTGCGTCACCACAATATTGCGGAATCTTTCCTTCACTGAGTCGAACTTTGGGTTACTATCAACTGCCCCCGTTGTACAGTTCATATCAACCATTATCCGCTACTTAGGGACTCGAAACATGCTCCTTCGAACCCATCAGAACACATTGGATTTCATGAAGGACGCTGTCATCTATTTGAGCAATTTGGCACATATGATCCAGTTACCAAGCAAAGAGGAAGCCCTTTGTCTATTGCACTTTCTTTTGTCTTTTGCTCCATTTCCGCCTCCAACGTTGGGTGCGGACGGCGTCATGTTTACATCCTACAATGCCTCGATTCACAAATACACACCCGCCGCCGTCGACAGCTTGGCTAAGCTCCTGGCCAGAGATGACCCCAACAGGATATTCTTCAAAGCAATATTCTCCGGTGATGGAGCGCCCGGTTCACAGCATGAATTGCTGACTCGTGCTTTCGGACTAGCTATTTGTCCAGTCCCTGATCAACTGCGGAAACATCTGGCCATAGCGGACGCCCGCAAGGTATTCCTCATGCAGGGATTATTGGCAGCCGACATTCTTTCTTCGTTTGCTGATGGTAGCTTGGCCAAACAATGGCTTGAATCGATCGACGGGTTTGCTATTCATCTTCTGCGGCTCTCATGTTTGCTGAGCACTGAACGTGTCCCTCCCCCTAATACCAACTCTCGCCAGTCCCATGCTGCCCGAGGCCAGGCGGAGGCAGAGGCCTCCGCGTATAGTTCTATCATCAATCGAGGTTTAACAATACTGTGTCGACTAGCGGAGAAGTCGAAACTCGCTGACAATAGTTCCGCGCGGAAGTTTCCGTCTGGAATCATCCCGAAGAAAGAGAGCCTACTTGGTGCATTGTTGATGCCCAATGTTGATCCTGGCGTTGTTCGGCAGCTAATCTCTTATGCTCGTTTAGCCGAGTAAAATGTGTCAAACCCTAATGGAATACTCCGCCGCTTCTTACTCTCTTCCTGCTTCAAACTCCCCTTTTTTGGATATTCAAGCGACCGCAGCGGGCTTGCCATCTTACAAAGCCAGTTTTGTTTCACTCTCGTCATGGCTTCTTCTGATCTCAATGAGGACTCACTCATACCTGTTCCATGCCTTTTTGTATCTGTTCGGCGCCGGTGGGAGAAATATTTTGGGGCGTGACTGTGTATCATTCTGTCTATCACTGTAAAATACCCTCGGGCAAAAGAATCATTCATGATGTCTATATGGGTAAATACACCATCGTTGTCATCATTTCGAAACATTCATCCTCCATTCGTAGCGACCTACAGATGCCTGGTTCTCTTCGCTTTACATCAAAGGAGACGACAAGCTTCTCCGCAAGAAAATTGGTCGTCATCTCTAACATGGAACTGAAATGACACTGTAGAATATATCAAGAGCCTCGCCTGAGTTCCCCATGGATACTAGATGCTGAAGCTGCTTTTACGTGTCACAACTAATTACTCCCAGATGCAAATGTCTTTTCGCCTTATTTGACTGGACCATTGGACAGGTACTAAAGTATGAAGTGCAAATAGCCACTCAACCGAGAAATGGCAGAGATGAGATCGGATGCGGAAAGGATAGAAAGAGGAAAACAATCCCCAGAGCACAGCAGAAGCCAGAGCCTTCAATGACAGCAATGAGAAACCCGCAACACGGACACCGGCAAGAGAATCGTACAATGCAAAAAGAGACATGAAACGATATACCAATCAAATGACGATCCAAAGACAGTGAAACGCGATAAACAAGTAGACCGTTCATGTAACCATCAAAGATTCACCTTCTGCTCATCTTGCATTTTCCATGGGCTCTTCCCTCCGCATAACACATTTCACTTCCCTTCTTCGGTCCTTTTGGTAATGCTTTGAAGCTGAAGCTTGGAATAGCTCTTTTTCGTGGGATATGTAGACTGGTGATCGATTATCGAGTAGATGATGAGACAGATATAGGGTACGGAAAGGTAATCGTTCATGCTGAAAGAGCCGATACGTCACTTTTAGAAGTTACGCTCCAGGAGGAACTTTTGAATCTCAGGCTTCCGCCAACCCTACATGGTGGTACCAATTAGCAACCGCATTGATAGAGGAGGAAAAAAGTTCTGGACGGCGCGAGGCATATCCCCTGGCATACCTTGACAATAATATGGCCATTGAGGCGGTTGATAGTGACGTCCGGGCTTTTTGGCGCACGCGGGTCGCCGCTTTCTAGACCGAGATACCGTGCAAGGTCGCTTCTCAATGCTTCGAGATCACCTTCCGTCTTCTGAATCTTGGTCTGTTGCTTGGTACCACCGGCTTTTGTGACGAGGTATACGGGGAGCTGGTTTGATGCTGTGCGACGAATGAAATATGGGAGGTTTGTGAGTTGCAGATTTGCACCAGGAGGAGGAACGGCTCCTGTTGTTGCGGAAGGGGTTTCTTTCAGAGTCTGGGATTGCCGTTTGAGCTGAACCAGGAACGTCCGAGACTGATGGGCGGAAGTCTTTGATTTGGAGTGTTGAGCGGATCTCAATGAGTGAACTGCAGTAACACAGGTCAGTACGATCACGTCCAATCTGATTCCCACGTTTGCTTCTCTGTTTCTGTTCATGTTTTTGCTATAGCTCGCTTATGGATGGAAGGCATGGGATAGGCGGATTCGACGGAGACTTACGAGAAGAGATCAATCTAGACTGTGAAGATAATGTGGAGAAAGAGCTACATGTCCTCGATGAAGCGACAAACTGTGAAGCATTGAGGAAGAGGGGAGCTGCGGTCGACTGCTTGCGAACAGCCGAGCAGACCGGCAGAGACTGCAGGAAAGATGCCATCGGCTGCGGATATGGGAAAAAGGGGCCTGCAATGGATGAAAATCTGGCAATACCAACGCGTGGATGTGACAAAGAACCCCGACCACAAATGGGTTCTATCACAGGGGATGTGAAGGCGACGTACGATTGAAGAGAGGTCCTACAGAAATGTCAAGCATCATCCTACAACATACGATTTCTTGCGTTCTGAGCGGAGACCTGCTGCTAATCCCAAAGGGGGATAGCGCGCCCACCAGCCCTCCCGCCCACATTTTCGCCAGCGCAAAGAAACCGGCGCACACTTACTTTGGCACGGGACGAAAGAAGAGACAGAGAGAGAGACTTCCAACACAGTCCTCGCTGCTGTTCCTCCACTTCATATAACCTGCCCTTTCCTCTCTTCCTGCTGTCCATTTCTACACCAACATGGCAGCCAACGTCCCCCCTTCCGCTGAGACTCTTCTCAGTGGTGCCGCGGCCCACCCTCCCAAGACCGCTGAAGAAATCGCCAACCAATACAACCTGCTTCCCAAGTTGATCCCCTATCTCGACCGTCATCTCGTCTTTCCTCTGCTTGAATTCAGCTCGGGCCAAGATGACGAGAAGGAAGTTGTCCGTGCGAAGTATGAGCTTTTGAAGCACACGAACATGACCGACTATGTTGCCAATCTCTGGAAGGAAATCAACAACTCCGACGACATTCCTGATGAGTTCGTGAAGAAGAGGGAGGAGGTTCTCGCCAAGTTGCAACAGTACGAGGAGGAGAGTGCGAAGATTACTCAGCTGTTGCAGGATGAGAGCGTCGTGGCCAACCTGCGAAGTGACAAGGTCGCCAACTTGAAGTTCCTCGAGGAACAGCACGGAGTGACCATTGAAATGGTCAACAGCCTTTACGATTACGGCCGGTTCCAGTACAGCTGCGGCAGCTACGGTAATGCCGCAGAGCTTCTCTATCAGTTCCGTGTTCTTTCGACGGATAACGACAAGGTCGCCTCCGCTACATGGGGTAAATTCGCTTCGGAGATCCTCACTACCAGCTGGGAGGCTGCGATGGAGGAAGTCCAGAAGGTCAAAGATTCGATCGAAACCCGTCTATTCAACAACCCTCTGGGTCAGCTCCAGAACCGCTCCTGGCTGATTCACTGGTCTCTTTTCCCCTTCTTCAACCACGATCCCGCTCGCGATGTCCTGACCGATCTCTTCTTCTCCCCCGCCTACATCAACACCATCCAGACCAACTGCCCCTGGATCCTGCGGTACCTTGCCGCGGCAGTTATCACCAACCGTAACCGCGCACACAAGAGCAGCAGTGTATACCAGAAGCAATTGAAGGACTTGATCCGTGTGGTGCGCCAGGAGGGTTATGAGTACAACGACCCTATCACCGACTTCGTCAAGGCTCTCTACGTTGATTTCGATTTCGAAGAGGCTCAGAAGAAGCTGGGCGAGGCCGAGGATGTGCTCCGGAGCGACTTCTTCCTTGTTTCCACCACTGATGCCTTTGTCGAGGCTGCCCGGCACTTGATCTCCGAGAGCTACTGCAAGATCCACCAGCGGATTGATATCAAGTATGTGACAGTATCCTGGAATTTAGTGACCTGGTGACGGATAACTGACATTGGAAACTAGGGATCTTTCCACCCGTCTCGGCCTGAACCAGGATGAGGGCGAGAAGTGGATTGTCAACCTGATCCGCGACACACGTGTTGATGCCAAGATCGACTACAAGGAGGGCACTGTGATTATGAACCACCCTCCCCAGTCTGTGTACCAGCAGGTCATCGAGAAGACCAAGGGTGCTTTCTTCCGGACACAAGTGCTGAGGTTCGTCCGTTTATTGTATCCACACGACTGACAACTTACTAATTTTTCAATTCTCTTACAGCGCGGCTGTTGCGAAATAACGAAATGGTTCGATTTACGCCCCGAAAACAAAATTCATCCTTTTTCCTTCCTCCGAATGGTTCTGTTCATGTTAAAAACCCCCACGATCTGTGGGTTTCTTGTGTGATGGGACCAAGCAGAGTGGCATCAGGCTGGCGTTCAGGTGGTCCACTTTTCATGTTCCCCGTAATTCCTCCTTTCTATTTTATGTTGTCAGAGTTTCAGATATCTCTCTTGGGCCTCCTGCTTGACTCTCTTTGTGGTTCTGTGATGATGAGAAAAGAAAACGAGTGACCGTCGATTGAATCTTTGACATTTCTAAGGGTCTAGAAGCGAGGGAAGAACCGAAAGGGAAGCCAGCTCGAGTCCGTGTTCCGGGACTCTAGGATTCTACTTCGGAGCCGGGCAAATGACCGACTGTAACGATTGACGAGAGTCATATTGTTTCGCACGGTCTCAGAGCTTTGTGCTATGTTGATTGATCCATTGATATATGCTGTTACGAATGGTCTATAGACAGATGAGTGAAATTCAGTATCAACCTTCCGGTTAAACTCAAGTCATTCCTGTATTCATTCATTGCCTATGGCCTTATCAGCTGGCTAGACGGCGCAGGTGACGGTGAAGAATGAGACTGCCTCTGAAGAAGGATGTCTTGTGTATTATTTGTAGGAATCAAGAGGCCATTGGGGAACGTCTCGAGGACGAAAGAAGGCGATCCACATCAAAGCCAAAGCAACCCGAAAAATGAATTGTAGTCGAGACCAGTTATTAATATGGCCCGATTTCAAGTCTCAAGAGTTGTTCGAACAAAAGACGGATTCGAGATAACGCTTGCAGCGAAAACGCCGGTCTTGATCAAGACGAGATAGTAGTAGGTGAAAAATGGACTGGCGCGCTCGGATGGGGTATAAGGTTGAAAAGCAAAGGCCAGGAGACAATCAAACGAATACGCTCGAAGAGATCACTGGCTCTAAATCGGTGGAAATCTATTGTCAATCAAATGACTCGGAATTCATCGTCCACGCCGCCCTCCGTTATCAACGGGCTGCCTGCGATGCCCAAACGCGCGCACCGGTACTATCTCGTTGATATAAGGCTCTGATTCCCTGCAGGAATGGGGTGTAAGGATATCTCCCGTCATTCGAAGGGATTCCTGCCGTTCGTACTCTCGTGACATGATGGCCAGATCATTGATTTGTTCCTGTGTGATCCTGTTAGCGACAGGGCAGTAGGAAAGCAGTGCTAGAAGGGAGCAGAGACCCGCGTCAAAGGCATGCCATTGATGAGATAGCCGTCGCGCCCCTGTTTGTATGAAGCTCGCGGGTTAGGCAGACTCTTCCCATTTATCACGTTCGCCAACTAGATAATCGTTTACCTGGTAAGTATAGGGTCTGACAGTTGCTGATGGTCCAAGGAAATACTGGATATGGCCCAGCACAATATGCCTTGAGAGACCATAGCCTGGTAGCCAATATTGCTGGACTTGTGACATCTTTGCAAGCGTTTTTGTCGTTTTAGTTTGGACTCTTGGAGGTATATAAGCTTGATTGGATGCTCGCGTAGGATGGCTGTTTAGGAAAGGTGGTGATGGCACGAAACAGGTACATGAATGGACGATGTGTGTATATATAACCCCAGACCGAGTCTACTCATGTAAGGGATAACCCCGAGATAAATACGAAGATCGTCTGCATGAGTTCGAAGGAATTGATTGAAGTTCGAGATGCTCAGCTGCAATACAATCATACTCGCTTAGTGAAGCTGATCAGCATTCCCATTTGCAACCACTATAGAATCTTCCAGACGAGGTCACACTGACAGTAGTCCAGAACTTCAAAGGAGTATCCATCACGAGCAGAGTGATAAGATGGCTGGGAAGCCAATTTGGTTCATTGTGCTCATCGGATCCCGGAAGGGACCGCCTCACTCTTTGAGAGGACGAGATTCAACCCCTTTTCGCACCGGTAAACAAAAGTGAGGCTTGACTTTGACGAAGACTAATACCGTTCGCAAATGGAAGCCAGCTGCACCCATGCCATGCGCTCCTAGGCCGCTGCGCCCAGGGCCGGGTCCTATTCCTTAATCGTGCGTCTCAATTTCAAGATCCTTGGACTAGATTGCGGTGAACATGCGGCGCCAAATTGGTCTGTAGGGATGTTGTCGTGGCTCCATGCGCTGACATCCTAAGACGAGTCCAGGTAGTATATTTTATCAATAACATTCCGAAACCTTCTTCTAACCTTACCCAGCTCAATCAGGGCGTTTAGTATTCCGAGTTTAAATGTATATTGAGATCAGAGACGGCCGTAAACAGAACAGGTCCCGCTGATCATCGTTGTAAGATCCGAGAGCGATTGATTATCTATGCGCACTGGATTTGTTGTACACGCAGGCCTGAGAGCAATTCCACGCTTGACCCATTTCTTTGTATCTGGGAAAAGAGCCAATGCATGTTAGACAAATCAAAGCAGAAATCTGGATTTTAGGAGGAACTTTACTCTCTCGACTGACACCGACAGTAGGTAACTAAGGTATAGACATGCCGAGTCCGAGAACGCGTAGACCAGTTGCCAACAACTATATTGATCCAGAACCGAGGAGAAGAACACTGCGTTGTATGCACAAGGCCGATTCAGGAAGCGATGCTTGATGTCTTCCATGCAGTGTCCCCCGCAACTCATATTTATCGATGGCTCCGTCTTGCAAGCGGACCTCCTAGGTTTCGTTCTCAACAAGAATCTGCAGAAACGATCCGAGACCCTTCAGCAACAAAACAAAATAATAATGAATCTGGATTCGGTGACTTCTCGTCCGAGAGTCCATCTCTTCAACCAGTCGATTCCTAAGCGCTCATCGATGCAATGTATTCAACAAGGATCCGCCCCTGCGGCCTATGAAACAGTCTGAAGCAGAACGTTACAAATCCTTCCGCTGGGTCTTGGTGATCTCCACCCAGCTAGCTACATGGGCAGAGCCCGTCCGCTGATTTTGTCTGGCTACTTCCTGCGTATATGCAGCTACTAACCCGCCAATGGCCGGAGAGCGACCAGCCAACCTTTGCATACCGTGGCCGTTGGGATGCATGGTCAACGACTTCATCTCCGACCAGTTCGAGTATGCCACACTGTCACAGT